AGAGAATTGGAAATGGGACTCAGCTATCTACTCTCAAAGCCCACCCCCAGTGACATGCTTCCTCCATCACCGCAGCACCTCCTAAAGTTTCCATGACTCTCAACAAACAGCCCCACCAAAAGTGTTCAAATACTTGAAGCCTGTGAGGGACAGTCTCATTCAAACCACAACAGATTGTGTGTCTGTGTGTGTGTGTGTCTGTGTGTGTGTGTGTGTTTGGTGAATGTCAAGTACTGCAAGCAGCTAATGTGGACATTCATTGGAAGCAACGGATTATCCCACTTGTGGTGCAAATAATGGGTAGGATTAGACTGACAGGATTAGAATACAGTGTTGAGTGTGTGCGCTGTCCTAGGTCAGTAGTAATCAGGGCAAATTCCCTGATGAGACAAATTCTGTCCTCCTTCCCTACTTCATGCTAGACTTTTGGTTTCAAAAGAGAATGCAAGGCGTTTGTTACAGAGCATAGTTCCAGGAGAAATCCAAAGGAACAAGTTCTCAGAACAGTTCGGGTCCCACTCTAGATTGAAATGGATGCTAAAGGGTCAGGCTGTCTTATTCAGGCATTGCCATGGTGTGGTATCACACTGCCGCACTTTGCCACTTGGCTCTGCCAATTCCAGATGATGATTCAATTAACAAAAAAATTTCTTGTTCTTGGGCCGGGCGTGGTGGTGCACACCTTTAATCTCAGCACTTGGGAGACAGAGGCAAGTGAATCTCTGTGAGTTCAAGGCCAGCCTGGTCTACACAGTGAATTCCAGGCCAGCCGGCTCTACAGGCAGACCCTGTCTCAAAAAGAACCCCCCCCCACCAAATTGTTTGTTCTTTGGGTCAAAAATGCCTTGAAGTTAGGCATGCCATTAAGCCTAGCACTTGGGAGGCAGAGGCAAGTAGAGGTCAACCTGGTCTACATAGCAAGTTCCAGGTCAGCTGGGTCTACAGGGAGACCCTGTCTTAAGCAAATAAAGAAATAAATAAAAAACCGCACAAAAATTGCCTTGGACACACAAACAAGATACTGCTCAGCAAGGTTCCATCCTGGTACCCATCCCCAGCTGCAACACTTTACACATTAACCTTCCTCTGAGGGAGTGTCCAGTCCCTCCTGCCCATAGGAGCCATGTGTATTTCTAAGAGTGATTAATTAGTTCAGCTGAATGCCCTCATAAGAATGCTCTGCCAAGGGGATTTGGTGCTGCTTTCTATGATGTCACTACAAATTCAGTTCCATTCAACTACCAGGGCAGGCTCAGGATAGTCATCAGCAGACATACAAAGTAGACTTGCTCCACTGGGAAGCCATTGTCCAAAACTCATTTAAATATTTTTGAACTCTTTGATTGATATTTTGGCCTAGAGGAATACTTGTCAGCTAAGCCTGGGTTCAAATCTTGGCTCTGCTTCATGATCTTCAGTGATCCCAGTCAAGAGCTTGAACTCACTGAGCACTGGGGCTAATCACTGTATGTAATACATAAGACTAATGACTGAAGGTATTTTTATATGTTTTTCTCATCACTGTGAAAATGCTTGACAGAAGCATGTAAAGCAGGAAAGTGATACTTCGGCTCACAGTTTTCGGGGGTAGAATCCACCGTGGCAGAGAAGGCATCCCATAAAAAGGCTTAGACCCTATCATAGGATCTTGTACTGACAGCTTACTCACACGACATATAGCAGGAAGCCGAGACTGGCTGCAACCAGAGGCAGGTAAACCTTCAGAGCCCTGTGTCCCAGTGACTTACTTCTGCCAGCCAGGCCCCACCTCCTAAAGATTCCTTCAAAATATCACCTGGGTGTGGTAGTGTACACCTTTAATCACAGCACTCAGGAGGCACAGACTGGTGAGTCTGTGAGTTTGAGGGTAGCCCGGTCTATATAGCAAGCTCCAGGTCAGCCAGAGCTACATAACAAGACTGCATCATATCTCAAAAACAAATAAGAGGGGATAGAGAAATGGCTCAGTAGTTAAGAGCACTGGCTACTCTTGCCAAAGACCTGGGTTCAAATCCCAGCACCCACATAGTGGCTAACAACCATCTGTAACTCCAGTTCCAGTGAATCCGACGCCCTCTTTTGGCCTCCTCAAGCACTACACAACATGGGTGCACTTACAAACATGCAGGCAGAACATTCCTACATACTAAATAAATAGTTACTTTAAAAAACAATGAAAGCAAAACAATAGCATCACAAGTTGAAGACTCCTTAAACATTTCTTACAGTCATGTCTGTAATTTCTGAGTTGATCCAATAATTTAGTTGTTCCAAACCCAACTGATCAGCATAATCATCAGGGCGCTTGATGGGTGGAGCACCTCAGTGGGTAAGGGCTCTTGTAGCTGAGCCTGACAACCTGAATTTGATTCCTGGAACCCACAAGTGGAAGGAGATGAAGGAGAGAACTGATTCCAACAAGTTCTCTCTCTCTCTCTCTCTCTCTCTCTCTTGGTCTTTTTGAGACAGGGTCAAAAAGCTGTAGCCCCAGC